CCCGCCGCACGTAGGGGGAGGATCCGCGAGTTTTCGAAGATAATTATTAGTCGTTTACGTTTTCGGAAGTTCTTTTAAGCCTTTGGTTCCTTTCAAATAGGTTGATTAGCCACACCAACTTAATAAAATCGAGTGCTTTAAGTCTGCATGCTTTTTTACTTGGTAGAAAGCTATCCTATTTTCCCCGTGAAAAGATTCTAGAAAGCGTTTTTTTTTTTTAATCTTTCGTTATTTTAACGCTCCTTTGAACGAAGGCCGGAAAAAATATCTGGGGCATGTGTAAATCTTTAGTCCTGTATAACTATTGAAAGGCTGGTTTTTTTCATGTGGGTAGCCTACTTACCGACATGCTACCTAGTTAAATTGCTGGAGTGATTAAGTAGATTGAGAATTATCCTGACATGGCTAGTTTATCTAGTACCTGTGATGGCTAAGCCTAATACTAAATTTAACTTGTAGGACCCTTTATTCATAATTACATTTCGTAAATTCTTGGCGTTGGATGGAGTCACGAAATGTGGTGACCTATGTGTATTAAAGGGTTGTTAGAATTCAGAGGAACGAATGAAATAGAAGGTGAAAAGGTCGGACTTTTCAAGTTGAGATAACTGAAGCAGGATGGATCTATGATTCAGAGGACGGAGCAACGGGGTCGGAGCTGCTGCCAAAATCTAATAGCAAGTGCTAACAGACGCTGTTCTGCATTTCAGAGTGCCTTGAACTATTAGTAGTTCAAGTTTAGCAGCGGCTGTATGTTTAAATGAAATTCGTCTATTTTAGGACTTAATGATTATCAAAAGGTATCTCTTGTGTGTTTTGGTAGCTCAGGATAATTGCCCACTGATTATGTTGGGATGAATAGCCATATTTTTCCATTAATAGAAATGGAATGGGGGGGAATGATAAGTTTGCTGAATTCAGGATAACATTTGAAATTAGGTATTTATGTAAGGAGACATTAATCACATAAAATTAATTTACTTTTTCTCATGGTATGGTCATATTGGTTTTATAGTGATGTGCCTTTTGGTCTTTCCAAATTACTAACCCACTTTTCCACACTCTGAAAATTAAATAAGGAAGCTTTTCTTGGTGAAATGATACATATCGAGTCAGACAGTCAAGAGGGAAGGTCTGAGGGGCTTGACCAATGGGAATGAATTTACGATTAAGTCAGCACTTAAAATTCATTACTTCCCCTGCACAAGTGGCTGATTACCCGGTTACACCATTTGGGCTTATTTTAATGTTCATTTTTTTTATAGAGTTACTTGTCTGGCGTGTTGCAGAGTACTCTGTGTTTAAAAGTGGTTATAAATATTTGATGAACATAACATAATATGGCCTGTTTCCTGAAACATGTTTTGTGGTAAACTATTCCTCTTCCTTCTCTGTGTGGTTTGGAATTATTACCAAAGAGAAGCTAAATAGTTTGTGATTAACTATACGTGTCCCAAGTTCAAATTCTGAATACACTGTGGTTTCATCTTCAGAACTGTAATAAGGAGATAATTGATAATAGGTGAAGAAATCAAAGCACGTTAATTGTTAAGCTAAATTTTTATGTGTGTATGTGTTGACTGGTCGGCAGTGTGCTCACTGCTTTCACATGCTCGATCTCATCTGATCCAGGCATGAGAGTTTTAGCTACACTGTAGTTTCACTAAAACAGTCTTTAGATATCAGTGAGCTTTGAGGTGGCATTTTTGCCTAAGCCCAAGCTTTGTTACCTGAAGTCTTTGTAAAAATAATTATACATATAAGGGTCATGATTTCAGGGCCTTAGTTACTTATTAGTACCTCTTGGTTTAAACAAAAATTGAGTGGGAGTCTAGTATGTTGAAACCAAATATTTGGATTTTCTGGATTTCTTCTGCTTGTTAGTAGGCCGTCTTCCTTTAATTCCCCACAGAGTAACAGTGATCTGTATGGTTGGTGTCTTTGAATGGAACAGCCGCAAGGGAATCTAGTAGATGTACAGTAGGGTAGTTTTAGATCTGAAAAAGTCTAAAATCCTTAGGGGTCTGCTTTTTTCTTTTTTAAAAGATTAGTATAATTTCATGTGCATAATTTAATATAGTTTCTACTCTATTCACTGAGTTGTGCAACTCCCACCACTGTCTAGTTCCAGAACATTTTCATCACCACAGAGAGAGACCCGGTACCTGTTAGCAGTCACTCCCCATTTCCCTCTTCTCCAGCTTCTGGCAGCCACGAATCTATGTTGTTCCTCAGGATTTGCCTATTCTGGACATTTCATTTAAATGGAATCATACAATACATGGCCTTTTTGTGTCTGTCTTAGTTCCTCTTCAAGGTTCATACATGTACTTCATTCTTTTTTTTATGGCTGAATAATATTCCATTGTATAGATAATATAGCAGGACCTTATTTTTCAGGTAAGAGAATTAAGGCCTAGTTAAGGCTGAACATGTTTCAATAATTTAATCACAGTTCAACTATGTTTTGAATATTCTTAATGCACTGCTTCAAGGCCCATATTATTTTTTGATGGCATATAATTAATATTTCAATATTGCCAGATTTAGGGTGCAGTATTCTAGTTTTTCCCTAGATAATCATCATTACTGTATAGGAATGACATCTATTTTACAGATATTATAAACTAAACCACTTAATCATTGAGTCGAGTAGGGAAACTAATGAAAAAAGCTGAGTATTTACTTAAAACATTTAGTTTTGAGAAAAACCTAAGGAGGCTTTAAAATCTTGAGGTTTCGGGTGTTTAGAAATTGTGGTCTTCACTCAAGGCTCTTGATATTTTAATTATCTTCTCTGTTAGACCAAATATAGAAATGCTTTGTGCTGGATATTTTAATCAATAAATTGAAAGTCGAAAAGTAATTTTTTCGCAGTGTTATATATTTATTTAGAAAGTTCAGGTTATGCCAAAAATTACTGATCCTGACCATTTGCCATTTCTTATGAATTTCCTTCCATCGCCTTTTTTACCGTGCTTTTTATCACTAAGTAGGGATGCCATAAACATAAACTCATGGAGCCAACTCATAGAAGCCCTCAAAAGTAATCCCAGCAACCCCGTGACCCCCGCTGGCAGCCTGTGGCCTAGATCCTGATTCTCCCCCCCTGTTAGCTCTGGAGACCTGGCTTACTGATAAACCTCTGCGGTGAGACTCTCCACTCCAGGTGATTGACCTTTTTTCTTTTCCCTCCCACCACCAAGAGCCGACTTTCCCTAGTGGGAAAAGAAAAATCCGTATCAGGAAAAGGTTAGGGCTCCTGACCTACCTACTAGCATTTTAGGCTTTTGGAAGAGAATAAATAAAATAATTTTTTCAAAGTATGCCAGATTCCTGGGTGGATATTTACAAAAGGCCTTTCTATTTGTTTTGTATTTGAAGGCTGCTGAGAAAGGTCAGTTGGTTTTAAGGCTGGGAAATTTAGGGCGCATAACAGGTTATCAGCAAAAACAATGATTAGAATAACTTCTTAGGGTCTGCATTCTTTTAACTCCTTGTCTGCTCTTCCCTGTGACCATTTTATAAACACTCGCTCTTAATACTTTTCGAAAGAGTACGCGAAAGTGAAAATTTTAAAAATGTTTAAATCTGGATATTTACCAGTGAGTTGTGTTGTATAGTATTATTGGATACACTCTCAAACTTTGTATTTTAAAATTTGGCATCTTAAACGTTACTGAGATGTTGAAAAACGTATGAATTTCATTATTGTTAACAAAATATTAGGACTATATGGGGAGGTCTTGGAAGTTAGTTGACTCTATTGTATAAAAGTTCACACCTTCCTCTGTGGTGGAGTTTAATTACAGTACAGGAAAGGAACCATTTCCTAGTCCTAAGTACCTTGTGTTAAGAAGGCCCATTCTATTTAACTTTGTGATTAATTATCAATAACAGCAAGCCCAGTGGTTTCTGGGAATCAAATCAGTAACGGCATCACATTTCCTCTTTAGAGGACACTGACCAAAGTATCTGACCTTGGCATATCTTAACTTCTGACTTTGAGATCTTTGTAAAATGACTTGTTGGAGTAGTGGGATCCCTAAAAGCCTTTTCAGTTCCTTTATAGCAAAAAAGTCCTACTCTTTTTCTGAATTCTTACATGACAATAGGAAACGATATATTCAACTTCTTAAAAGCAAAGCAATTAAATTTTAATGTGACCAGGTAAAAACAAAGCAATGTCATTTTAACATGACCAGACGAATGGTAGGAGCTTTCTTGAGTAAAATTCTTAACCATCCAGTTACTTAAGTCTTACACAGTGGTTTCAGATACGATTAAACGTTAAAATAGGGTTGCTTAAGTAGTTGTGCTGGACTCTCTTTTCTTGTGTAAATTATTCCCCTCACATGGACTAAGAAGTGTGCTGGAAGCTGTTCTTTTGACGTGTGGACCTTTTCTCTTGGAGAGTCACAGACTTCAAGTAGAGTTTCTAGTATCTCACAGCATCACACTCTTGAAAATAACCTGAAGTGTGTCTTTTTGCATTTTCAACTCATCCCTCTTTACTTTTCCCTTATGTCTTCTGGCTTTCTTCTAAGCACTCAGAAAATTTGAGGGGGAGAGGCCGCTGCCAGTACTCCAAACTGATAATTGTATTTTAATTTCTTAATTTGTTGATAACTTAACAATTTATAGTAATACAGATGGTTTCTATATGAAATGAGTTTTTTAGATTTCTAGCAAGGACTAAATACAGACCTGGATTTCACACATGATATATTCCTTTCTGAATTATGTAAAACTTTGAAAGTAAATGACTTCATTGCCCGCCTTAAAAACCCCTCAAATACAACAATGTGAATATACTTAATGCCACTGAACTGTAGACTTAAAAATGGTTTAAATGGTAAACTTTTGTATATTTTAACACCACACAGTCCACAGACATTATAGTCAGTAAAAACCAAACTCCTCGTCAGAACCTACAAGGCCACTCAAGATTTGGCCCCTGCTTTTCTTTCCGATGTCCTTCCTCCCTTCTTCCTCTGCTCCCATTATGCTCCCACCCACCCTGGCTTTCTTTCAGTCCTTGAACTTGCTTCTTAGTACTTGGTCTTACCTCTGCTTCCAGCGCCCTGACTCCAGGTGTTCACCTTCTCAGTTGCTGCCTTGTCTTTCAAGTCTCAGCTCCGAGAGGTCTCTGTTCGTTCAGATTAGTATGCCCACGGGTGCGCATGCGCACACACATTACCACTCTGTCTCATAACTTGTATTTTCTTTGTAGCACTGTTTGAAAATGTTTTTTGATTTTTTTTTTTTTTACTTGCTGCTAATCTTTTTCCTCTAGAGTGTAAGTCCTGGGATGTAACCCTGCAGCCTCAGGCTGACAACTAAGGCACAAAGAAGGTTCTCAGCAAGTAGCTGGCGGCCTGCATGTGTGGGAGTTGTGCCACAAGGCAGGGGCGTGGCCTGCAGGCCAAGATATCATAGATCACCAGAAGCCTTAAGGGCAGGAGAGAGTGGAGAAGTCTTTTCTTTTTAAAAAAGGCATGGACTTAAGGGTCAGTACTAGATTCAAATCGTGCATCTGTGACTTACTGCCCTTCTTTAGGTGTGTTACTTGGCATTTCTGAGGCTTGACTTCTTCAACCAAAAAACATGGGGTTAATATCTTTAAAGATTTTTGTCTGAATTGAGAAATGTGACAGTTGCTGGCATGAAACAGGTATGCAGTAAATGACAGTATCCTTTCTTAAGGCCTATTAAAAAGTGGGCAAAACTGGAAACAACCTATGTCTGATTTGGGGTTTGTTTTTTGTTTTTTGTTTTTTTTTTTGTTTTTTTTTTTGCCTGTTTCTTAGCAATGAATATCAAACATTAGCTCTCCCCTATTTCATTGGAGGTGTGGGTGATGGCAGTGGTGAGAAGGTATTGTCATTTTTGCCAAAAATCACCCAAATGGTCGCCCAAGGTTAATGGCCTTAAGGTGGAAGGTGTGGAGAAACAAAACTGTGCCAACTGTAAGTAAATAAATAAATAGTAAATAGGCAAAAATAGAAAGTCAGGATCATGGGGGGAAAGGAAGCATTAGGGTCAACCCTAATGAGCCTCCCAGCAATCAAGATAAAAAAGGAAACTAACTATACTACAGCTAACTGATTCTAAGATGGGAAAAACTGATAAAAGGCAAATTAAGTTTTTCTTAGGACCGAATTCTAAAATAAACTGCTTTATATCTGCAGGGGACCACTGAGTGGTAGTAACGCACAGATTCCAGCCGATATCGTGTCCAATTTTATGTGGTGTCTTAAAGCCACCAAAGGCTTAAAGTATAACTTAACTGAAGGTGATTCATAATTTTCTATGTTCTTTACATGGTTACTATAGCTTAATAAAATGTTCAACGTTTTTAAAAACCCGTGCAGCATAGGACCTACTGCGCTCCTTAAGCCCAGGAGGGAGGGGAAGGTAGAGTAAAGGGGTTTTGCACTCCTCTACTTCACAGACACGACGGTTGGCATTTAACGTGTTGTCTTGTCTTAGCCTCCTAAGGTAGGTGACATTCTCTATTCAGTAAGTGAGGGAACCAAGCAAGGCTCAGGGACAGGAACGAAAGGTCTCTTGGAAGAGAAAGATCTTGATCATGGCTCGGAGAGCAAATGGGACTTAGATGGGGCATGAGAGGCGGGCAAGAAGGGAAAGTGTGTTTATCACTTACCTTTTATCAGAGACATTGGATCGCTCCGCAAAACCAGTTTGCTTGGAGCACGGAGGGCAGGTGAGACACCACTTTTTAAACTTCTTCTCTGGACCCGTAGAGCGTGTTTCTAGCCTTTCCATTTAGTTTCTTAATTATGTCTTTTTGACTGAAAATTCTTTTAAGTCTCTTTGCTTTGCCTCTCAAATTAGTCGGGGAGTGATTATAGCTTTAGTAACATTGGAACGGACTAGCTGAGAGGGCTAGGACAGGGGCTTACGTACCTTTTCTACCTTTTGAATAGTTTCATATGCAAAAAATAGAGAATGTTTTAAAAATGAGAATGAATTGATTGTCCTGCTTAAATAATTCAAAGTGTATGCCCCATTTATGGATGGCGTTGGCTAGATATTCCCGCCCCCTCCCCCGACCTTCCATCTTAGGCCATTTGACTTTGGTTCAGTTGTTGTGGTCATTATTTTGGCCAGAGGTTAATGAGCACTGGAATCACTTCATCCACAGTTTTGACTAGAAGTTCTCAATAGAATTTCCCCTACCACCCTACCCTTGAATCAGCTTTTTCCAGATAGGAATCGTGAAATTTAGTTTTAATCTGCTTTGCGCAGTCATGTTCTGGTAATCACAATATAAATGTAAGTTACATTGGTTAAAGCAACCCACTACAGTGAAACTGGCCCTGCGGATTAACCCTGCCCCCTTGAAACGATGAAGAGACGTTTAACAGTCCACTGGGAACACTCCAGAGAGGAGTATATATACAGCGGACCCTTGAACAACGTGGAGGTTAGGAGTGCCCCCCTTCGTGCAGTTGAAAATCTGCATGTGACTTTTGACTCCCCCAAAACATAATTGTCCCTCGGTAATCTGGGGTGACTGGTTCCAGGACCCCTGTAGATACCCAAATTCGCAGATACTCGAGTCTACTGTATAAAATGGCATAGATCAGTGCATGCAGTCGGCCCTCCGCAGACTCCCAACTTCTGATCAAAAACAGTAGCAGGTATTTATTGAAAAAAAAAAAAATGCGTGTAAGTGGACCCACACAGTTCAAACCCATGTTGTTCAAGGGTCAACTGAATGCCACAGTTTTTAAAGCAGATTTAGGTACTTTGCTTCCTGAATGTACTTTACCTAGATGTGTGTTGCTTTGACCCCACAGCGAGTCGGGAGGACTCAGTATCGTGCGTAGCATTTGCCATTCAGAGTAGGTCGTTAGCGCCTTACCCTCGATCCGGCAAAGCCCTTCCTATGGTAATTATGAAATGAAAGGACTATAATACCAGCGCAGACATGTATAACAATAAAGCATTTTTAATAAAGGTGTAAAAAATGAATCGGTATTTCTCACTAATGTATATTTTTGAACGAAAGGGGAAACTTACGTGTATATGGTTTGTAAATTAATGAAAATGTTAATTTCTCTTTTAGAACATCATGAATTTCTATTATATTTGGCAAAAACTTCTGAAATTTTTTTTACAAAAATTAAATAAAATGGCTGAATAATAACAAACATTGACATTATTTGATCTATTGCTTTAATATGTGTCCAGTTCTTGGTGAAAATGAGACAAACATTGTCTTTGATTTCTTTTGGCATTTCACTGGCAGTCGTCTTCAAAATGTGATTTTTTTTTCTATATAAATAGATTGTTTTCTTGCATTTTGTTATTGAATAGTTAATGACCCTGTTTGGAATTTCTGTGCACTGGTCTTCAAGGAGTTCTGCAAATTAGGTGATAACACTATTAAGGAATAAGTAAGAAACATATGGTGATAATGTGAAGTTTAAATGTATATTGAGAAAGTGTATGGTAACCACAGCAATTATTTAGAACCTAAACCAACAAAAGATATTTTTAAGCAAGAATATTGTATCACCAACATTGTTTAGAAGTGCAGGTGTTTAGTGATCGAAATCAGGATGATTTTTATTATGGTTTTAAAATCATGTACAGACCATGCACTTACAGACTGTACTCGGGACAGATTGCTTTCTCTGTGTGTCACCAACTAAAAGTCTCATTAGACAAAGCTAGTTTTCTCCCGACATCTGGACATATCTCTTCAGTCTCCTTTGCATGGTCTTCCTCATTTTCTCAATATTGGAATTACCCAGATTTTGGTTCTGAGCCCTTTCCCCTTTGTTTATATTTTTTCAATAAGATAATATGTATTTTGGTGGCTTTTAATGTAGTCTGTATGCCAGCAATTCCCATATATTCCTCTCCAACCTAGATTTTGTTTTATCCCCCACACTTGCGTATCCAAGTACTTCCTCGAAGTCTGTCCACTAGATGTCACACAGATATCTCAAAGTGGAGTTCCAGACCCTCTATTGCATGTTGTCTCCTTTCCCATTGTTCTCTGTCTCAACTGATGACAGGGCCATCCTCCAAGAAATGAAAACAATTCTGCCCCCCACCCTTCCGATTCATTACCCAGCTGTGCTCATTCCTCCAAAACAAAACTCGCATCTAACCTGTTCGAAATCCCTACTGACAAATGTCCTTTTCAGAGGTGAATCCCATCATTTAGTAATCTCATTGTCAGGAATTGTTCCTTGTTTGAAATAGAAAACTTTCCATTTTCCCTAAGTGAAATCCCATCATATAGTTCAAAGGTCAGCATGTCTTTTCTGTGGAAGGGCTAGATAGTAATTTAGGTTTTGTAGGTCCTGCAGTTTCTGTTGCAGCCAATCAACTCCATGTGTCACTGTAGCAGCAAAGCGGCCACAGATGACAGGCAAACAATTGGGCGGGGCTCCGTTCCAGAACTTTATTTATAAAAATCGATGGCACATGTGCACACCATCATTCATGGCATTATTTACGATATATAGGCAAAAGGTGGAACAACCCGAGTGTCCATCAATAGATGAACGTGGTGTATACCCATATAGAAATATTATTGAGCCATGAAAAGGAATGAAATTTTGACGTGTGCTACAGTGCAGCTTGACCTCGGAAACATGTTCAGTGGAATAAGCCAGGCACAGAAGGACAAATACTGTGTAATTCCACTCTCAAAAGATACCCAGAGTAGACAGATTCGTAGAAACAGAAAGTAGAGAAGAAGTTACCAGAGCCTGGCAGGGGAGGGAGGAAGGGTTATTCTTTAATGGGCGCCAAGTTTCTGCTGGGGATGATGAAGTTTGGGTATAGAGAGGTGGTGATAGCTACAGTGTTGTAAATGTACTCAGTGCCACTAAATTGCACATTTACAGAGTGTTAAAATAATAAATACCGTGTTAATGTCTGTTTTACCAAAATTAAGAAAGTAAAAAGGAAACAATAGAAATGGGGTAGGGGGTTGGCAGGCTGGGTTTGACCCCCTGGCTGTATTTGCAGAGAGTAAAATCTTGCCAGCTTCTACTTTAGGCTTATTTCATACATGTTTTGTATTCTAACTCTTAATCATCTTAGTTACTATCCCCTAGGTGCTTGATCTTGAATATTGAAACTAATAACTGAATCTTAAGTACTTATTCATTTGACTTCTGTTTGTGTCACCCCAAAAGGCATATGCTTAAACCCTTATCAAGTATGATGGCTTTAGGAGGTGGGGCCTCTGGGAGGTGATTAGGTTATGAGGGTAGAGCCCTTGTGAATGGGATTAGTGCCCTTATTAGAAGGACAGAGAGATCAGGTAGTGTCATGAGAAATGATGTGTATGAAGATACAGCAAGAAAGCATCTGTCTACAAACCAGGAAGAGGGCCTTCATCAGAAACGAAGTGGCCGGCACCTTGATTCCAGAACTGAAGGCAGAGCCTTTGCTTTGTTTCTGGCTATCGTTCCTGGTGCCTAGAACAGTGCCAGGCACATAGGAGGCCCTCAGTCACGTGTTGCATGAGTACCAGGAATGATGTGGCCTGTGATTCCTTACTGCCGGGAGGTCCGCCTTCCTTCTGCCCCATCCTGCTTAAAACATACTCTCCTCGGTAGCTTGCTCAGAGCAGCAGTGTTTCTCAGCCTTGCTATCATTCGTATATTAGAAATGCAAAATGTCAGTGAAGGAAAATAGCTTCCCTGCCCACCAAATACTTCTGTGTTACTCGAGAGTTGATGTGTAATAGCAGTCATGCCTAATTGGAGAGATCGGAGGTAAAGAAATGATCACAGCCCTCAGAAAAGAAATGGAGTTAAGGAATCTGGTTACAGGGCAGTTTCAGCTTTGTAGTTTATGATCAGTAACCACGTTTCCTGCCCTTCCTCATTAATGCACCCAGCTGTTTTTTTCCTAGGCCCCTTCATGCCTTGATGGATATTCTTCATCTGTAAATGGCTAACCCGGGATATATCATGTAGGTCTTCATAGTTTGAAACAAGAGGCCGCTGAGCTTGACAGTTAAGCACACAGGTCTCAGAGTTGGACTTTATGAGTTTGCATTTGCCACTTAATAACTGATTAACCCTGAGCAAGTTACTTAACCTCTCTGTGCCACAGCTTTCTCCTCCATAATGAAGCTGCTCATATGTTCACTTTGTAGGGTGATGTGTGCAGTGATTCAGAGTGCCTACATGTAAACATTCAGTAAGATGTCAAGTGCTAGTATTCTGTGATTTCCTTGTAATGACTTATAATATTTCCTAAAACGAAGAATGGTGGGAGAAGAGAGGCATTTAAAGTTTGAAACTCGTATTCTGTACTTTTCACTGCTGAGTGATTGAACGTGAATCAAATGAACCCACGTTCCACCTTCGTCTTGTCCTCAGCCTCTGATTTGTGGAGCAGTGTGCTAAACAGCTATGTGTAGGCTTTTGGTAGTGACATTAACTGCAGGACTTGGTGTGGTTTGGGTTTTTGTCCTGCTTTTTAATACTGGTGGAAGGCGATGGCACATTTAGAGTCGAACAAGCCAGTTTTCAGTTCTGAAAGTTCTTGAGTTCCAGCTCTTTGTGATACCATTTGATGGAGAAACGGAAGTTTCAGTGAGCATTGACATTTTCTGCCTTAGGCACCAAAGTAGTAGAAAGCTGGATTGGCCTCGGGACTCTCCACTCCAGGTTTAAGAGGCAAGGCCAACAAAAATTCAAAATGGCTTTATTTAGAGTTCAGAGTTCGTCAGTGTTACTGTCAAGAAATACTTTAGGGAGTTCAAAGAAAAGGTAAGAATCTGAGGCTAGAGTGATAGAATCAACGGGTCCTTAGAGAGTTCGAGTGGCTCTGGAGGGTCAGTAACTGAATTAGAGGTAATGGAGCAAAGCGGGGGATGGACACTTACTGAATGTCTCCTGCCGGGCACTTGTGGATTAAGCTGTGAGAAAAACAGGCTGGTTGGGATATGAGGGCATATGCAAAGAGGAAATAGAAGGCAAGACTAGGTGTGTTAAGACGGAGCCAGATGGCAGAGGACCTGAATGCCAGATGAAGTAATTTATATCTGTTGAAGGCTTCGCGCCACAGGTGAAAGTATATCAGCCGTGTTCTCTGTATCTGTTTATCTTTTAGCATCCCTAGAGCAGAGGCTGCAGGGTTGAAGATCAGTTAAGAAATTCCCACTACCATTTGAGTTTGAGATGACAAAACATAGTCGATGGCAGTGGAACAAAGAGAGAGAAGAGCTTTTAAAAATGATCGATAGGATTCGGTGTGTGGGATATCTGAGATTAATTATGGGGGTCAGTACTCCTTTTTTTTTAACCTGTTGGGTTTGAGATGATAGTAAGACGTGAGTTGGTGATGTCCTACATTCTTAGAACAGTATTTTGAGGGCCAACCACATGCAGACTTTGAACAAGGCTCTGGGGGTACATAGGGATCGAGGCTGATTAGCATCCATGTCCTCATGGAGCTTACAATCTCGTGGGAGAGGCCGACAAGTCGCACAGCTGTAATTACAAACGGTGGTCGCCGAGAATGGCGTGAAGGGTGGCCGTGAGGTGAGGGCGGTGGACCGCAGTGAACTAAAAGGCCAGTACAACCGGAGCAAAGACTGCGGGATGAGGAGGCGGGAGAGGTAGGCAGGAGGCTACCTAAGAGGCGAAGGCTATAAAATCTGATTTGAGTCAGCGCTGCAGAGTTGGTGGTTGACAGGAAACGTGTGTGGTAGACAGAAAACAGAGCTCTGAGCAATGGTAGAAGCAAGGAAGCTGAAAATAAGCCAGTAGAGGAGCGGCCCAGAACCAGGAGAGTAAGTGCCGAGGACCGTGATGATGCGCTGTTTTGGTTGGCCAGGAAGGGACCCTCTTGGAAAGGTCCGTTTGGATCTGGCACCCAAGATTTAGGTGCCCTTCAAGCAGAAACAGGATTTCAAGAGAGAGAGGAGAAAGACTGGGCGCTTAAGAAATTGAGGTAGCGGCTATAAATCGCCCATTTAAGAAGCTGCTAATGAAAACATTTTTTATAGATTTTTAAAACGTTTGCCTACATAGATATTTTTACTTAGCTAAGTTAATCTTATGATGTGTTTCAGATGAAAAAAAAGATATTGACCATGAGACGGTGGTTGAAGAACAGATCATTGGAGAGAACTCACCCCCCGATTATTCAGAGTACATGACAGGAAAGAAACTTCCTCCTGGAGGGATACCTGGCATTGACCTCTCAGATCCCAAACAACTGGCAGAATTTGCTAGGTAAGTTATAAGGACTTTCTTCTAATCACAGGAAGTATTTGAGTGTTGCCACCCATATTTGGTGCCCAAGTTATAATGGCGGTTTCTGTTCTTGCTCTAGGGGGACTTCTGAAAACAAAAGCAGTTCGTTTTCTTTTTCATAATAGCTAGGCTGCTAATGTGAGTTGGCACCATTTAGATCCTTATAATCAGATGAAGTAAATACTCTCTTAATTCCATAAATGGCATTGCTTGTGGATAAATAAAATTGCATATAGCTTGCTGGGTGTTGGCGCTCCTGACTGTGCCTGCTGGCCTGCTCGTGTAGTTTCCGGTTGAGTGCATTGTCCTGGACGGAGCTGCAGGAGACATAGGTCTGTACCAGCTCTGTACCGCTGACCGCTGGAGCGGATTTCATCGTTCAGATTTTAGCGTGTCATCAGTTACACTCCCAGTGTTTTGTTAATTTAAGCTGATACAACAGGAAGAGAGCAAATATTAAGGGCTGGGACCCCAAGGTGAGCAGTCAGGAAGATCAAAACCCATTGGGTGTGTGTTTAGCCCGAATCGGGCTGGCTTCCTACAGAAGCCTCTGACCCTTTTTAAAAACTTTTTTTTTTCCAGTATTTGTTGGGCCATTTTTACGGGGACATGAGAAACCCCACGAAGATGTAAACTTTTAAATAAAATGAACGAATAAATTCTGGAGCCAGAGGGCCTTCTCCTTTCCCACCTGAGGTTGAGTGAGTCCCGGAACAACCCAGACAATTTAGGTGAAGGCAGAATCACGAAGAAGGAAATCTTTGTGTCTTGCATTGGCTGAGAACAGAGTGGGGCACCTTTTTTCTGTCTCTTGAGAGCAGAGCGGAGTAGGAGATAGCAGGAGACCCCAAGTGGCCCAGTATCTTTAATAAAGGGGTTTGAGCCCTGGTCTCCACTCCAGATAAATTGCATTTGTAGAGAACATGCACATTAATTTAATTCTAATTTATCATGGCTTAACAAAAGAAGGTGAGGCTTAATCCTTTCTTTAACGACACTGTGTTCCAGCTTTTGTTGCCAGTAATGTTTTAAATACAGGTGTGTGCATCAAATATTAACTGCCCCAAAATACAAATACAAGTGGAATCTGTGGGGTCCGTAGTCATCAATGGGGTTAGAGTTTTGGGGCAGATTGAGCCAGATACCATGCCAGAGTCATATTGTTACATGTTCTTAAAGTTAGTCACTTCTTCCTTACAGTACTCAGAATTTAGCTAGGACCTGGTTGGCTGTATCCCCAGGATAGCGATATGGTATACAGGAATCAGGGAAGGCTTTGAAGAGGGAGCCATTTGGTTGGGGCTTGAAGGGCGTGGAGTTTTGATAGATAGGTGCGGGTTCCGTGGTGGGGCCTGCGTGCTGGAAGGGCGTGAGCGCAGCATACACATTCAGTATACACACCCAGCGTATGTTCAGGAAGCAGGAAACAGGTTTGCCTGGGAATTGGGGTGCCGTAAAAGAATGCATGTGATGGAGATGACAGGAGGCAGTGGAAAAGCTTGATTAGAAGCTTTGCTCCTTAGGAGAAGGGAAATTGGGAGACGGTGCTGGTTTGGGCTTCAGGGTAGGCAGCGTTTGGTTTAAGATGCAGATCCATTCTGGGCTTGAGGTGGTTTGGGGAAGTAAGTTAGGATACAGTCATCTGAGGAAGGACAGCGCTCGGTAAGTCAGCTTTGTTGGGGGGAGGTTTTGGAGGGAAGAGGCCACCCTGTAAGGTCCTGGGAAAGTCCTGTATTCGAAGGGTGAGTGGGGCCAGTGATGGAGCAGAAGGATCATTCGGGAAGGTACGTACAGCATCACAAAAGCCAGCTGAGGGAGGGATGTGATTCTAAATTATATATAGTGAAGCGATTTCACTGGAGGAGGCGAGGGCTTTGCAGAGAGGGCGCCTGTGGGTGGTGAGCAGTAGACAGAATTAGGTGTTGGTGACCCTTGGCATTCCCCCTCGTGCTGGAAAATAGGGAGGCTGATCTGAAAGCTTGTTTCTAGTCCTCCTAACAGAAAATGCATGGTGTTTTAGCCCTAAAGTCAGGAGCACGTGTCGCAGTTGTGGAATAGAAGCCTCTGCTTGTTTCCCAGGTGGCCTCGCCTCTGTACCAGGGCTGCCTGAGACTTTCCTCGTGAGGGAAGGGGCCCACAGAGACTGGGGTCCCAGGTGCCAGGTATTTCAAAGGTACCATTTACGAAATTTCAGAACACTAAGTATAAAGAACCTAAAAACTTCTAGAGAGAAAAGCTAGGTTACCTACACAAGAATGGTCGTTAGAGCTAAATGAGACTTCAACAGCAGTCAGTAATCAGAAGATAGTGGAGTGGTGTGTTTTGAGATTTCTGAGGAGAAATTATTATAAACGTAGAATTCTTGATCCAGTGAACCTATTGATCCTATACAGGGCAAAATAATGATAGTTTCAGACATGTAGGACTTGTTTTATGTTGCATGCACCCTGTCTGAGGAGGCCGCTTGAGGATATATTCCAGTAAAATGAGGGCGAATATCAACAGGAAGACTCCCTAAAGAACAGCGAAGAGAAACCGAGAAGACAGCTGTGTAGAAGGCTGGAAAACATGTTCCGTTTAGAATAGGAAGTCAGTGCTTTGTCAGAATTTCTTCAAGAAAAGTCGATTGCAAAAGCAAAGAGAATCAGAAACTCCCAGAAAAGGCGGGGCAGGACTAGGAAGGCCATGGCCTAAAAACGGGGCATACTTTTAACAGTATTTAAAGAGAAAGAGCTCATTTGACCTGACTCTGGGAGAAGTCTCTCCTGGGTACTGAACGTACTAGATTGGACTTCTAGAGCAAGAAATGTGATCCTGATATAGTTTTATTAACTAATGTCACCCTAATAAATTTAATTTAAAAAAAAAATGTGATCCTGGCACACAGTTAAATTCTACAGTAAGTAGTATTTACAGAATCATCTGAATACAGCGTGTTTATTTTCTTTTATGATCAACCTGCCAAAGATTTTATTTCGTATGCAGAATAGAATGAAATCTTGCTCATCTTGACAGTGTTTGCAAAGTGAAGGTATAGGGGCTGAGCTCATTCTCCTCTGTATTTTCCATAGTATCTTGAAAAAAATCACGTGAAACTAAGCAAATCTCTCCGATTGGACGGTGGTGGTGAGAAGGATTTGAGCCTGGGCTGCCCTATTTTCTTAGGTCTCCAAGTTTTAGAATGTGTGTGATAACAGCTGAGTAGGGTTCCCAGAGGCCCCAGAATTGGTTACTGGGACTCTGAAAGCTGAAGGCACCACATTTCAAACTCGGGGGCCAGACCCCGTCTTCTTCACTTACAGAGATCCACAGAACTTGCTCTGCGGCCTCCGCTCCGGGACTCGGCTGTTGGCTGCTTTTCACTCTCCCCATGTCCTGGGGTGATGGGCTTCTGAACTGGTCTTGAAAATGACCAGTTCAGAAAACGTTTTGGGCTGCTGCTATGCTGACCCTAGACCAGGAGTCCCCAATCCCTGGGCCTGGACCGGTACCGGTCCATGACCCGTTGGGAACTGAGCCACACAGCAGGAGGGAGTGGCCGGCAAGCAAGCGAAGCTTTGTCTGTATTCGCGGCCCCTCCCCAGGGCTGGCATCACCACCTCAGCGCCACCTCAGATCCCAGGCATTAGATTCTCATAGGAGCACCGGTCCCTGGTGCCACAAGTGTTGGGGACCGCTGGCCTAGACTGCTCAGTAAATCAGTTACACATGAGTGTACAACTGTGCGAAATAATGACTTTTCATTTGAAAGTCGTGGTTTTTAAGAGGTAGGACTATGTATGGGTGGCTGTTCTTTCCTGAAATGTCTTTTTAGTAAATACTTCAAAAAGTAGACAGTGGGTGGGACCTGACCAATTCTATTTCCTGGTGAAATCGACAAGCTCTGTGCATTTTTCATTAACTAAGGTTAGCCTTCTGGAAGCTGTCGGTCCAGAAAGATGAGAATAAAGAGAGCTTAGGTCAGTCCCAAGGTTGTTCACCATGCCCCTGAGACTTTAACCAGAAGATGAACGTGAAGATGAAGTGTGCTCGTGGACCTGAGGGCACTTCAGAGCTCCGCGTCGTCGCATGAGTCCGCGCTTTACTTAAGAGCCGGTGCATTTAACAGGCTGCCTCATCTGTCCAGGGCAGCAGCGCTGCCCTTGCGTGGTAGCCGTGTTACACAGGAACTTCCGTCCCGTCAGCGTGGGTCACAGTCGGTGGTTCCAGTCTGAAGTCAGCTAAGCTTGTTTTGCAGGGAAAGCCTTATTTTCATACAAGAATCACTGCTTCGAAAAGGTTTCATCTCGGCTTCTGGGACGTTTGCGGATTAAGCTGGCCGGAACCTTTGGTTTATGCAATGCCCCGCTGAAAACTGCTAGGAAATTTCCTGCAGTTTCTGGCCCTGGAGTCCAACCTGACGGTGGTGTTCCTTTTACAGGCGCAGAGGGAGATAGTGTAAAACCAGCAGTCGTGTCATAGGGAGCATATTCTCCATTTTTAATTGAACAAGAAACTTCTCTCATTGGGTGGGTCCGTGGCTCCTCCGTATGATTCCTGACACGCGGAGGAGGCCTTTCTGCTTTACCGGTGCCGTTCTTCCTCTAGTCTCGCACTCCTTTAGTTGAAAAGGATGGTTTGGAGCACCAGAACCTTCTGGATTGTTACGTACAAGTGGCTTTTTTTTTTTTTTTAAAGAATTGATTCATTGTCAGCGAGGCCCATTTAACACATAGCTGGTGATAATAATAGCTGTCGTTCCCCGAGAGCTTACTGTGCTTCATCTCTTTTAAGCTTCACAGCGCTAATTAATGCAGGTAGCCTTGCACCTTTTTACAGAGTAAGAAACTGAGGCTGAGAAGTTAAGTGATTTGCTCAAGGTCTGCAGCTAGTAGAAGTCAGCATCAAATCACACATCCCATCCCGTCTCATTCATAATGCCTACGCTGTGTCATTGTCGTCTCCGGTTTAAAGATCCTTGTAAAGCAGCACAGTCAATGAAAACGCGAGTCTTGGTTTCGTCTAACGAGTGTGGTCAGGTCAAGAAGATATACTAAATAGTAGTGTATGATTTTAGTCTTTCTTAAAATTCCTTTTCTTAGGATTTAGATATATATACATGTATATATATTTTTTACTTTGTGAGTTATATATCAATTGGTTCCATGAAGATTTTAGTCTTTATTCACAAACAAAAATCTTTCAAGTATGCTTCTTTGGGAAATGACCTTCTCCCAGTATTTGCATTAGAATAAAATGTAAAAGGACCAACAGCGTAGGGTGATTTGCTCAGGAGCTTACCAGTGGCTGCAGTTAAATACTGTTCACTTCCTCTTTGAGTCCGAGGGTGTTGGTACAAATGCATTTTAAGCTCTCATTCTGAAATTAATTATGTTGCTAAGTGCTTGCACACATTTTGAAAATGACATTTAAGAAAAAATACCACTTAGTATTTTTTAAAAATCAAGAGTTGTGTAAATGTTACACGGGACTTACTCGTTGTGTATGTTTGAATTTTTTGATGATTAAAAAAACACACATTTAAAAAAAATTAAGTTCCTAGGAATAAATCTAAGAAAATGTATGGGATATGGGAACCCAACTGAGCCACACCTGTCCTACTGGCACAGGCACCTCACTGCCATTGACTCCATATTCAAACCCCAGGACAGGTGAAACGGGGGAAAAAATTGTCTGTATGTGTATTTGTCAACCCTGTGGGCATGCTTTAGGAGTCAGCTGGTTGAGAATGTAGTAGAGCCGCCCTCATGGGTGAGTACCATCCTCCGGGCCGAGGCACGTGGTCCTGCGCCAGCTCACAGTCCCGCAGCATGGCAGGGGGCTCATCAGTGGGTAAACGTTCTTGATGGGGAGACTGACTCTTGGTTCTTAACATGTGCTTCTATTAACATTTGACTGGAGTAGAACCCTTTCGTGTGACTCACTATAGTTTTTCAAACTGCTACAACCCCCAGGTGGCGCAGTGACACCAAATTTTCGTCCTACCTGGTTTTGTGCACTCAGACCCACACTCCGGGATTTAGTGCTATCTGAGATAACACAGGCTAGTTCAGACCTCGCAAAGCCCCCCCTTTATGCAGCAGGCACTTAGAAAATGTTTGCTAATTGATGTGAGCCTCCAAGCACGAGAAAGACCGAGCCCCGGCAGGGTTGTCGTGGGGGAAGGGTTCCAGACTGAAAATGTCATCACAGACTTTGAAATAGGAAATTTATGCAGTCTTAAGCAAACTCCTTAGAGATAAGTTATAGCTGCCAGATGAGTTGTTTCACCTGTGCTCCTCCCAGGGCGGGGAACCTTTAACAAGGTGAGTCCTGAGTTCCAGGTTTTAGACAGTCGGAAGCACCAGGTAATTCTTTCCCGGAGCAAGGGTGGAGAAGAGTAATCTTAAGGCTTTTGCTAATAACTTAAAGATGGTAGCGGAAATCTTTTGTAGTAAAAGGTGGTGGTAAATTAGCTCTTTTAAGGAATCATTGACTTAGTCGTTTATTAAGTATGCGTCCTGATGTAGGAGTGTGAGGCGCCAAAGTTCTAGGGACTGTGAGAACATCTGTTTCAGAAGTTTAAATCTTTTTTCCAGGAACTCTTAATTTCTCACCCCTCTACCACACACAGATCTGTAGGGAGTATTTGGAGAGAAAGTTTTGACAAGGGACCAAATGTGGGTTCAGTGGAGATAGCAGGGAGGTAAGTCACACAGTGAGCCAGCTCTCTGGGTACGAATCCCACACAGGACTCTGGCTGCCCGCGTGATCTGGACCCCAAAGCAGGGCCAGAAAGCTGTGTCCTCTAAAAGAAACGTTCTGATTTTTTGAAAAACTAATAACGTGCTAGGGGGTGGGGACAGTATGGAGAATGTGGGGTGTTCCCACCTGTCCAAATTCTCTGTTTAAAAGGACTATTCTGTACCCTTTAAGAAAAAAATCTGTCAGTATGAAACGGATCCCCCCTTTTTTTAAAGCAGTTGTATTGGGAAGTACATTTTTAAGACCCTCCAGTATCCACTGCTCCCTTTTTCTAAGGCGCCTTTACGATCACAGCAACTGCTTTCGGACACTTCGCTTTTCTCCCACCAGGAGAGTCCTGTGTGGTTTTCTGGGCTGTTGATCTTTTATATTTTTTTAAGCATTTGGAAGAAAGAGCAGATGTTTGAATCACACAGACCACAGTGCCGTCCTAAGCTGCACCACCAGCTTATTAGCTGTGCGACCATAGGCAGCATCTCAACCTTTCTGAGCATCAACATTCCTATCTGGAAAGTGGGAAGAGTATGTCGCAATCATAGGGACTCGGAGAATGTGAGTTGTCTCTCGTGCCTTCCCCTTCGTGGAAGCATATTGTAATCTTCGTTTTTATACCTATAAGGAAAACATTTTAGGGACTATATGATTTATGCCAGTTGAGTCTACCCACTCCTACAAATCTCTCTCTCTCTCTTTTTTTTTTTTTTTTTTTTCCTTTTGGTAAGAATGAAGCCAAGAAAAATTAAAGAAGATGATGCTCCAAGAACAATAGCTTGCCCTCATAAAGTAAGTAATGCTAGGGGGAAAGTGTTCATTAGACTGTTAATGAAGTTTTAGACAGATTATAAGAAATTTGCGCTTTAATTTTCTCTTCATATCTGAGATTCAGTGAGGAACTAATCTTTGGTTTCTAAATTCAATAGACTATATTTTATGGTGTAAGTTGTGTTCAGTAAATGCCACTTAAATTTAAATACTATTAAATGGGGTTACTGTAGGACACCGATGTTTATATTATTCCTACATATCAAATATACTTTGTTAGGACTTTATTTCTTCTTTTTGGATCATTAACAAGTCAATCTTAAGACACTGGGTTATATCTCACTCATGGACCTTTATGGGACCATAGGCTCATTATGGAAATTTGGAGATGATTTTGGATGTTACTAAAAGTAAGCCTAATACAACTTCATCATTTCCTTCACAATTTTCTTAATTTACCCTGTTAATTGTGTGTTACTAGAGAGGTGCATAATTGTTTTCAAATGTGATTAGTCTTTAAACTAAAACGTGGCCTAAAAAGTACTTTGAGGTATTTGGTTGAGTCTATTTCAGACTTTGTTGGATCTAAAACTAACAGGAATATAAAGTATCCCTCGGGTGCAGAAAAACAAAAGGTGGGGATTTTGGAATGGAGCAGAATTTTTTTAAATGAACAATTGGAGAAGATACATTTAGTTTCAGAGCATGACCTCTGCTGGACTGTGCATTCACAAGTTCTTTGTTTTATTTTAATGCTCTTAATGTGGAGATTTTGAAATGTAAAAAGTTTGTTAGGGCCAAAAAGTAAGCATTTGAAAACAGTTATGCCTAAAGCGCCTGCCACCTCTAGCTTCTCTGTGTACTTCTTTTCCAACTACATTTTTTAAAGATTCCATTTTCTAAATGGAAACACAGCCTAGGGGTCAAGGTGAAAAAACTGGGACTTTTCCCGCCCTTCTGCCTGTGAAGCTGTTCAGTGGTTGACTCGTGCTGTCCTTCTGTCGTGCTGTCTGATCATTTCCCCCATTCACTCCATTACTGGGCAACAACTGCAGAAGAAATTGTGAAGGACGTGCTTCTCTAGAGCGCCACACCCCGTCTGCCGCCCCACCCTGCTCTCGTATCAGTTCGCCTGCTTCTTTTCCTAGTGTCTCACAAAATAAATTTCTTCTGTAGTTGCCATTCCTTGGAGACCCTCTTGCTTCTTTCTCTGTCAAGAAGGGGAAAGAGGCAAAGAGAGAAGAGGGGACAGTAGGCGATGGAGAATGACAGCCCATTCTTGCGCACAGAATATGGGGCCCACCAAAGGTAGTGGTGGACTGCCGTCATTTTAACTCCATTTATTTCTCAGTGCTTCTGTTGCTTCATTTGGGGGACGGAGTTGGGCGAGGCAGCTGTGGTGTAGCTGGAAGCCAGGGCGTCGGGTTCTACCCCCGGCCCGGCGCTGGTAGTGTGACCTTGGGCAAGTCTACTTCAAGACATCTCTAAGCCTCAGTTTCCTCATCTGTAAAACAAGGGTTTACATTAAACGATAAGGCCTTTTTCAGCTGTCTGTTTTTTGTCTTAAGTAATTTGATATTTCTGCTGTAATACTAAGTAAAATTAAAGTGGGGGTTGGGGGTCGTTCTGTTCTCATGTGTCAGTGAAGGCTGTTGAGTGGTAACTCCTTTGTCACGGTCTGCAGTGTGAACCACTAAGCTTCTCTCTCTGTTCGAAGGGCTGCACAAAGATGTTCAGGGACAACTCCGCCATGAGAAAGCATCTGCACACCCACGGCCCCCGAGTCCACGTCTGTGCAGAATGCGGCAAAGCTTTCGTTGAGAGCTCAAAACTAAAACGGCACCAACTGGTTCATACTGGAGAGAAGCCCTTTCAGGTAGAGCCAGTCCCTTGTCCCCCCACACTACCTGCACGTGAAGGCAGGCAGCGACGACACTGGAGAGTCACAGCCAGAGAGGCCGGGTCCTAGCACTTGCAGTGAGAGCCGGCAGTGCTGTCCAGACGAGTTGCTCGGACCCGTGTGTGGTCTGAGACACGGAGACAGGGTGTAGCGAGGGCCTTACGGAGTGCACTTCGCGTGGAGAGGCGCACGGCCTTGCTCAGGAGCAGCCTAAAGCTAATTTCTGGGGCGCTCACTGGGATCGAAGCGATTTAGTTTTCATAGTTAGTGCTATATCGAATTACTATTGGCAGGGAACTCCTAAAATTTTTCATCTGAGGGTAAGTGTAGTTGATATTTTGTCTCGTTTTGGGAACCCATGAACAAGTGAGCTAGTAAATCCCGGTGGGGTTTTTTCGATACTTGGCACTAGAAACCTTCCGATTGATTTGCATTTTATTTGAAACGTACAAGTACCGGGACCATAACGTGATATTTAGGGAGATTCTTGCTCTTCTGCCAAGTGCTGCTCTCACGTTGTGTGCACACGGCTCCGGAGGGCTCACCGTGGGTCTCGGGGGCGGTTCTGCAGAGCTAGAGCTCCCCGCCCACTAATGCCAGACGCAGCTAGGAACCGTCCTCGGGGCGGGCAGGAAAAGCACCAGGCGGAGAAGTGGGCCGCCCGCCACCGCCGCGGCCAGCCCCTCGCCCGCCGCCGGTCAGTCGCTGAGTGGCTTCTCTCTGGTCTTTCCTCGACAGTGCACGTTCGAAGGCTGCGGGAAGCGCTTTTCACTGGACTTCAATTTGCGCACACATGTGCGAATCCATACCGGAGACAGGCCCTATGTGTGCCCCTTCGACGGTTGTAACAAGAAGTTTGCTCAGTCGACTAACCTGAAATCTCACATCTTAACACATGCTAAGGCCAAAAACAACCAGTGAGAAGACGGGCGAGAAGAAGCCTCCTCGGCCCCGGGAGCCCCCTCCGGGGGTGCGCCCGGGAATAATACTCCTCCCTTTGTATATTGTTTCTAGGAAAGAATTTTAAAAATGAATCCTACACACCTAAGGGACATGTTTTGATAAAGTAGTAAAAATTTAAAAAAACTTTAATAAGATGACATTGCTAAGATATGCTCTATCTTGCTCTGTAATCTCGTTTCAAAAACACGGTGTTTTTGTAAAGTGTGGTCCCAACAGGAGGACAATTCATGAACTTCGCATCAAAAGACAATTCTTTATACAACAGTGCTAAAAATGGGACTTCTTTTCACATTCTTATAAATATGAAGCTCACCTGTTGCTTACAATTTTTTTAATTTTGTATTTTCCAAGTGTGCATATTGTACACTTTTTGGGGATATGCTTAGTAATGCTATGTGTGATTTCTCTGGAGGTTGATAACTTTGCTTGCAGTAGATTTTCTTTAAAAGAATGGGCAGTTACATGCATACTTCAAAAGTATTTTCCTGTAAAAAAAAGTTATATAGGTTTTGTTTGCTATCTTAATTTTGGTTGTATTCTTTGATGTTAACACATTTTGTATAATTGTATCGTATAGCTGTATTGAATCATGTAGTATCAAATATTAGATGTGATTTAATAGTGTTAATCAATTTAAACCCATTTTAGTCACTTTTTTTTTCCGAAAAATACTGCCAGATGCTGATGTTCAGTGTAATTTCTTTGCCTGTTCAGTTACAGAAAGTGGTGCTCAGTTGTAGAATGTATTGTACCTTTTAACACCTGATGTGTACATCCCGTGTAACAGAAAGGGCAACAATAAAATAGCAATCCTACAGAAAGAATATGGCAGAAAAAGATCTGTAAGCACAGTCTTATTTCCTTTTGTTGTCCAGAATAATTATAATTCTTGAGCCTCCCAGAAATTGGAAGCTAAATAAAGCAACTCAAGTTTCCTTTATTTTGCACTCAGTTACAGTGACTTGTGGTTAAAGCGATGCATGGGTATTTTAATACTTCCTGCGTGTACTAAGTTTTGAAAGAGAGTAGGTAGCAGGCATCCTGAGTTAAGGAACTACCTCAGAGCACCCCAGCTGGGCCCCTTGGCGATTGGATTTTGATTTTAGCTCCCCCCAGCAAATGTGTGACTGAAGCGCTTGTGCCCTGGCCTGTGTGTGTCCTCAAGGTAAGGTGTCGACCTGCGCGGGGCGAGCAGAGAGAAGACCAGGCGGTTCCGCTGCTCAGGCTGCCCTTGGCGGCCCCAGCGGGTCCCCGGTTGGTCTCCCAGGAAACGCTTATGGTTATTCGCTGTTTGGGCTGAGAGCCTTGGTTCCTGTCTCGTGGAATCTGTAATGCCAGCGCGTGTGGCAGTTGAGCGCCAGTAGCTTAATTCCATGCTTCTAAACGGATGCCGAGTGCAGGTTGGCAAGGTGATTGGATTATCAAGAAAGCTGTACTCAATGAGTACCTCTCACGCGACCTCTTAAATGTACGATTATAATTTTTGAATATTACTTCGAGTCAAATATCAGGCTCATGAGATATTTTATAAACTGCCATGATACAGCAAAATCCCATTTATTCGAAATGCAAACATACTGTGTGACTTTGTGCTGTGTGCTTGACTCTGCAAGGTGCAAGGTAATTGACAAAACTCGCTAATATCAGAGATTTATTTATAAGATGTCCAGGACACCATCAGGTCGAAAAGGTAGCCCTGTCTCTTTACAGCTTCTCCATCGGTCCTGTACAGGAGGGTTGGTGGCCCAGTAACAGTGACCCTGTGGCTCTTGGGAATTTCGAAGTGCCTTCTGAATCATAAATGAAAATTTTAACTCGAGACACTTTTTTTATTTGTTCAGAATCTGTTTTCCATTGAGTAGTTTGATGGAACTGAGTTAATCAGAAGAGCCCAGCTGTCCCCTGGATAATAAGCCAGGCTTTGCTGTATCTGGCAGTCAGGAGAGAGGTAAGCCGTGGTGGCAGTCCCCTTCAAAGCTGAGTGCCCCGGTGGGAGTGCGTGCTTCTCTGACCAGACCTGGGGCAGAGGCCGCCACGGGTACCCGCGGTGTGAGTCCGTACGTCCCCTCCCGCCAGTCCTGGGGTGGCTGTCCTAGCAGTCTGGAGCTGCAACACGCTTGCCAGCGTTGTGCCACACTGGAGCCTGGTCCTGGCACTGTCCCCGGGACTCCTGCCCCGGAACCCGCGACGGCGTGGCCGACTTGTGCTGTGGGGAAGTGCTGGCAGCCCCAAGAACCACGCCGTGACTACACAAGCCAGGCCCCTGTGCGGAGGGAGGTCCCTCTTCCTCTGTGCCTTGACCCCTCGGGGGATGCCTTTGGTCATCTCTTCTGTCCCTTTCTGTCTCTGAGTGGAATAGTCATCACTCCCCTTGACTCTCTGTTCATGTGTCTTTTCTCAGTCTGCAGAGTTAATTTCTGAAAGGACTTGACTTGGGGGTCTGAAGACGATTTAATGTCCACATTCTTTGTTGACGTCACGTCACGTTCCTGGTTGACTTTGAGGTCTCATTTTACAGCAGTAGTCTAGAAAATAATAGATGAGCGACAGTTTAAAGAGTAGAGGTAGTTCTCACTGGGTATAACTTAAAGCCATTTCGCTTGTGGTTAGAATTGATAATTTTGCTAAAGATGTAAATTAAAAATTTTTTGAAATGGTGTTCTAACAGTGAGTCAATTGTCTTGAGGATTAATCTGATTTATAAATAATACTGATAGACATATTTTCTTATATCTGAGCTGAAATCAGTGCATGTTTCTAGCATATATAATATAAAAACCCAGAGGATAAGTTTACATTTAACAAAATATTGTGTTCTATTTTTGGATTTATTATTTTCCCCCTTTTTGGTAGTGGGGTTTAGGGGGAAGCATAATATTTGTATAAAGAACTGTCACCCCAGAGTGACATTTATTTTCCGAGGTGACATTGAACTCACACTGTTGGTTTCATATGGTGTTTGTGTGCCGTGTTTAGATTCAAGGCCTGAGGATTTGAGGAAAATCAAGATTTTTTTTTTTCTATCTGGTTTTCATGTAAAAGTTCTTTTAGATGTCAGTTACTCCTTGACGTCTGAGTTAAGTCAGACCCTTTGGGAGAATAGTATGCCCAGTGCCCGCCGGCTGTTCCCAAGCAGAGTTCTAGTTTGATTCTCCACAAATGGATGAGTGGCTTCCATCCCACAAGCGGCCCAGAGAGACGCCCGCATCCAGCGGAGCGGTAGGCAAAGGGCTTTGTTCCTGCCCCCGGTCTGCTTAGTAAAACTTAACCTGTTGCAGCTTACCTCAGGGTTCACGTCCGTGACACAGGAAACTCTGGCCCTCCAGAAATTGTCGATTTGGAAACCTGATAATTCCACCCCGGAATTATCCGCGGGCAGAGAGAAATGCCCACTTCCCGAGTCCGACTCCTGTGATTTGGGGTCGGCGGGGCTTAGGAAGGCCGTGTCGGTAATCTTGAATGCCTTGACGTTGCCCACCGGCGCGAGCCAGGATCCCAGAGGTCAAAATAGGGGTGGGAGCCGAAGCTGCCCACAGGCATCCATTTAATGCCATGACCGTGCCAGGAGGCTTCCTCCGAGCTGCTCTGCTGGCCTCCTGAAGCCAGCTCCTTGCCTGTCCCTGGATGGCCTGGGACCCCAGACCTTAGGGTCATTTGTCCGATCTCGCAGCCCTGTGTCCTGGCTCCCGCCGGCAGTAGTGCAGGCACAGCACCTTGTCAGTTGAGGCCCAGCAGGTTCCTTTCACCCAGACGTAGCCCGGAGCAGAGGAGGAAGCCAATGCTCCAGCTGCGCTTCCGGGCGGCCCCAGCCATTCGCTCCATAGCCTGCTCATCCATGTTGCAGAAGGCACTTCACGCCTTCACGATCCCTCTGCGTAGAAGCATTTGGCTGGCTGGCTGGCTGGCTAGGTCCCCTATGTCCTAACTTACTGACCTTGACTGACGGACTGTTCCTGCTCAGGCCATGCTCGGGTCCCCAGTGTGAGCGCAGGCCCTCAGAACAGCATCACGCAGGAGGCTGCCCAGCCTCTCTTCCGGGGCCAAGGGGTAAGCAGAGCCAGGGAGGAGGTTTAAGCTGGAACTCTGTCGAGGCTTGACGTGAGGTGCGGGTGGCATGCCGTTGACACGCTTCGTCCACTTCCCTTATGACAGTGGGAAGGGAACGTTGACCCACTGGCGTTAGGTCAGCGGGCAAATCAAACTTCCCAGCATCTGGTCACCCCGCCCCCACGTTTCCGGCCAGCATTGTGTGGGAGTCGGTAGAGCTGAGTGGTGGTGTCACGCTCATCTTAAGGCACAATGATTGACTTGCCACAAAGTGGCGAGTTTAATCAAATTGACTTCATTAAAGACTCAGATGCCACGAGAAGCAGCACTGAGATGTCTGTCGCAGGGAGGGCAGCTGCTGTGCCGTGTCGTTTACTCGTCTCGGGGCAGGCCTCACGGTGTCTGCAAGTCCCGTGGAGGGGAAAAGGGCATCCGCACCAAACAATCCTCCTCTACGACATCCGTAACTGTTAACGAGGCTCTCTCTTACCTACTACGGTGATTGGTCAAACCATTTTCCTAGAACAGTTCTGTTTTTAGTCACTTTCTGGTAACTTCTGTAGGCCCTGACTCAAAGACTCAGCATTGCGTCTCATGTACATCTTTTTCTTGAATGTTCTTTGCCATTTCTGGAATTGTCCTTGGTTTTTCCTTAGCTCATAGGTCATAGACGCAGAAATATTATAGTATTTAAGGCATCCGCATCAAGCATCAAGCAAGATGGCTTTGCATCCAGAAAAACATTTAACAATAACTCAGTTTGAAGCACCAAGCATGTGTAACATGGCTCTATAAAATATAATAAACGCATAATGTTGTTAAGCTTTTTAATGCCTGTGGTTCTTGTTTGTTCCTCAAGCCCCTAAGCCGCTTCTTTTCCCGAATTCCACACCCAGTAAACCTGGCAAAAAGCTCCTGCCTGGGGCAGATTCTCATGGGTCTCCTTCGGGCACAGGATAAGCCCCAGGATTTGGTCTCACCAGCACGAAATGCTTCCTTAAGGTAACCTATCAGCTCCAAGATGGACTGACGAGCCGGAAGGAGTTTTAATGAGAAATGTACCCACTTTTCAGAAAGCACAACCAAATGATATTCTCATCTCCAGTATTTTGGTAGTTCCAGTGCCAAAACGGCAATCTTACTACTGCAATAGGCTCTTAAAAACCCCATAAAACGTACTGAGACCTAGTTAGGGCTTGGCCGAAAGCAAAAGGCAGAGAAGCGCCTGGCCTCCCCCCGCCTGGGCCCTGGTGTCTGGTGGACTGTAGAGTGAGGCTTATTAATACTCCTTAATTCCTGTGACTCTCCCTCTTTTTGCTATTGATGGAAGGGGCTGCTGACAGGATGTTGCTGAGGTGGCAAGTCCCGGGCCCATGGGAGGCCCAGAGCTGCCCAGTGAAGAGCCAAGGCAGAGCCGAGCTGAGGAGCAGCCAGGGTGAAAAATAAGCGTGTGGGCTGCAGACTTGGAATTAATTTATGTGGGCGACCCGGATGGCTGAAACCAGTGTCCCTGCCCTGCACTCGCCAGCGTCCGGCGGGCCGTGCTGACACTTGTTGGGAACCTAAGTGCCCAGGACCATGCTAGGCATGGTAAACACCACGTCGCTTCCTCCTCCAAACCGCCCTTGGAGGAATGGCCCCACGTCGTGCAGCAGGCACAGTGGTGAAGGTCTGGGCAGCTGGAATTCAAATCCCTGAACCACTGCGTCTTCTGGCCTCGGGAGCTGGTCCCCGCATTACGCCCGGTGCTAGCACTTCTCAGCTCCGTGCTCCGGTCCCGCTGCTCCCCGCCCGCTCCCTGGCACTATGCAGCCCACCTGAACCTCCAGGAGCCCCCCACTTCCCACCGGATGAAATCCGAAGCTTTCGCCTACCCGCAAAGCCAAGCCCGGCCTCACCTTTTCCAGCCGCTCCTCACCTTGCGGTTCTCCATTTCCAAAACCTCCTTGCCCTTGAACCCCCAGGTTCACTCAGTGAACAGCGCCAGGTAGTGTCGGGCCCTGTTTCAGGTGCTAATGGAACGTACATTACACCTGGTGGAGGAGACCTGAGGGGTGATAAAGATAAATACGAGTGACTGCGGGAACGAAGCACAGGGAGGGGGAGGGCAGTGTCGGGGCATACCTGGCTGGAAGGGACCCAGGGACCTCCCTCCTCCATCACCTCCTGCTGGCGGCAGAGCCGGTGTCCAGCCCTGGTGTCCAGCCCTGGTGTCCAGCCCTGTGCACGCTCCCCGGCTGGGGCGGCCCGCCCACTCTACCCCCTCCCCCTCCCTCGCCCTTACCTGCGCCCACTCCCCTCCCAGCCACCATGGCCTCCCGGGCCGCTCCCCCAGGTCGCTCTGGCCGCCAGGCCTGAGGGTTACTTCTCTGCTGCAGCCTTAGATTCTGGACCGGGCCGGACCGGCGGGTGCGCTTCCCTCTCCTGCCACCGGAGGGCGCTGTGCTGGGCCGCTCTCGCGCCACTCTCGGCTGGGGGCGCGGGTCGGGGAGGCGGGGACGCGGCAAGCCGGCCCCTCTGCGCGTGCTTGGTTTCTCGCGCCCGAGTTGGGTGGGGGAAGTTTGGTGACTACAGCTCGGCGCCCACAGCCATCCGTGCCCTCCGCGGGCAACCTCGGCCCAGCGTGGGGGGGACCCACAAGGCGGGAGGGTCATTCATTCATCCTCCCTACTTGTGCGGACGCCCGCTGCTGAGCCCTGGGCGTGCCAAGGGACACGCAGGGAGGCCAGCCAAGTTGGAGAGGCCTTGGGATTCGGCAGGACAGAGGAGCAGATGACCTTGGGCCAGCCGGGGACTTCACTTTGCTCAGCAGAAGCTGGGAGGCGGGGAAAGGGTCGCTAGGGCCAGCATGGGAGTCTAGGAGAAGGAGGCTCCAGTCATCTAGGACCGCCAGGAGCAGTGCGCTGGCCCCCGGGAGTGGCCGGGAAGGGCGGGGGCTTTTGGGAAGGGGAGACATTCCTGGAGGGGCCCTCTGAGCAAGGCCTGGAGTTGAGAGGGCTCCTGGTGCACCCCCAGACCAGGGAGAGGGGTGGCCCCGCCTCTCTTCCTGCCCCTTGGCCTAGGGCTTTCCCTCCTATCCTCCTACCACGGGGGTGGGGGGGGTCCTCCTCATCCCACGTCCACCCCCATCCCAATCCCGCTCTGCTGCAGCTGCCCCAGTCACCCTGTTCATTCCTGGTGAACTCGGTGTCCGTCCCCGAGGATGGTCCATCCTCGTCTGGCCTGTTCGTTCCTTGGCCTCATCCTCCTGATGACCTCACCCCGCCTGCCACTGCCCTGTCTTCCCTGACACCTGCCCCCTTTAGTCTCTGGCCTGGGGTTCTACTCTCTCACTGCCTCTCCTAGTGACCCCCGCCTTCCAGAGCACCAGGCTGCATGGAGCGCCACCGCTCTGGCCACGGCAGGCCTCCTGCAGTGGTGGGGGGACGCAACCTGATCATCACAGCCCAAGTGATGTGTCTGTCACTGGGCCTGGGAGAACACAGCCGAGTGGCATGAAGGCCACCAGGGAGGGCTTCCCGGTGGGCGGGGCGTTTGAGCAAGGGGCTGCAGAGCCCAGCTCCCAGTAGCCACTGCCCCTTCTCTGTGTGCCCTGTCACAGTGGCCCTGCCTCCCTCTGGCAGGGCTGGCGGGTGCCACGCCAGGGTAGGGGCGGGGGGTCATAGCAAGGAAGCTGAGACCAAAGAGCACACAGGCTGGGGCTCGAACCTTTCCAAGTTTCCTGCCCCTCTGGGTGTTCGTCGCTGCAGCTACAGGAAATTGGTGAGTTGGCCTGGCCACCAGGAGTCTGGGTGGCCGGTCCAGGCTGATCCTGGCCGTTGAACCCCTGCTGCGGGGTGGGGGGTGTCCACCTGACGGCCAGGCCTGCGGCAGGGCTGTGGTAAGGCCGTGTGGTGAGGGCTGTGGGCCAGGAGGACCTTCAGGCTCTGGCTCCAGCACCACCTGGCCATGCAACCTTGGGCGAGGCCAACCCGCTGGTGGGGGCTCTTTCAGAGGGGCGGAGAGGATGCACAGAGTGGAGCCGCTGGCCCAGTTCCAGAACCGGCCTTCGTCAGGGAGCTGTGAGGGCCCTACTCTGGGACGAGGGACTCTTCCCTTCTGAGAAACGACTGTCTGACTGAAAGCCGGCCAGGCCGGGCCAGTGAGGACCCCATGGAGGACTGCGCTTCATTCCTCCTACACCTGAGGTTCCCGGGGAGACAGAAGTCGACGTGCGTCAGCCCAGGGGTGGCCGCAGACGCGTCCTGTGCTGGGCTGGCGTCCTGCGCCGGAGGAACCGGGAAAAACTGACTTAAGAGTGCCACGGGCACTTCGCCTGTCACCGTTCACTCCCCAGAGAGGTCCCGCCCACGCGCTGCTGGAGCCCTCCCTTCCGGGCCTTGACATGCCCTTCGGCTCCGAAGCCCCTGCCTGGCCTGCTTCCTCGTACCCCGTAGCCCAGCCGCCTCACAGCCTCCTCTGGGGTCTGTAGGGCATGAACCAGATCTTGACCTTCCCCTGGGTGAAACCTGCAAACTCCTCACCTTGGCCATGATGCAAGTGGCAGCAAGTGACGGAGAAACCAAGGAACAGTGCGTGACACAAGGGGGAAGTAACTGGTCTCCTGCAGACCAGGCTGGCTCAGTGGCCCCCCGTCCCCCAAGGCCGGCTCAGTGGCCCCCATCCCCCAAGGCCGGCTCTCTCTGCTGCATCTGCAGGTATCCGGTCCCCATTTCATCAGGAAAAGGTATGCTTGTCCCTTTTACAAACCTTTTTCAGAAGCCCCAGCCACTGACTTTCGTTTTTATCTCCCTGACCAGACCTGGGGCCCATGGCCACCTCTAGCTGCAAGGGAGTCAGAAAAGGTATTTTTTAATCTGGACACGCTGAAGCCCAGAACAAATTGGGGTTCTATCAGAAAAGGCAGGAGAGCTATAGTAGGCACCTGGAAGTGTCTGTCAACACCCCCCAGGTGCCTGTGACTGCACTCTTATTTGGAATAGGTCCTTCCAGATGTGATTAGCTAAGATGAGGTCACACTGGAATAGCGTAGGCCCTTAAGCTAATGACTGGGGTCTTAGAAGACGGAGATGCACAGGGGCGAAGGCCGTGTGAGGACGGAAGTGGGGATTGGAGCGACATGCCTACAGGCCAAGGATGGCCGGCCGCCACCAAGCACCGGAAGAGGCAAGGAAGACTGCCTCAGAACCTTCCGGAGGAACCAACACAGCCACCACTGAATTTCAGATGTCTGGCCTTCAGACTGTCAAGAGGATAAACGTCTTGTTTTAGCCTACGTCTCCAAGATGACTGTCAAGCGAGAACAGCAAAGAACAGAACAGCCAGTACCTAGGCCATACTCTGCGGGGGAGCGGGGATGTCGCCCAGGAGGTGCTGGGACGACCTCGGCCCCGGGGAGGGGCGCAGCAGCCAGGGAGGAGGCGGGGGCCAGGTTTTCCCCTTCACTGCACAGCCTGGGTTCCGTTTGCATTTTTATTTTTTGCCACATGAATGTAGTACTTATTCCAAATGGAACAAATACGAATTAAAACCAGAGAGAAAATAAATTGTCAAATAAATTCATAAAAGCCCCACACCTCTCCCAACCCCTCTTCACGCCGGATTTGTCGGTAATGTTTAACCATTAGCGCTCGGCAGGAGCGGGGCCCCTGGCGGTTAGTATTTGCCTGGGTTCTCTTGGAGGAAGAAGAGACCAAGGGATCTCATGAGGGAAGGGGCTTCTGCCTGGGACCCCGAGGAGGGGACCACTGGGTTATTGGGGCCTGTGATGTGCTTGAGGGCACTTCGCCCACGGGTCACCAGCCAGCCCCTTCCTGGCCTCCTATCCCTGGAAACTGCAGACAAGGCCAGTGTCACAGGCTGGTGCTAGGGATTAAATGGGGTGTAAAGGCACAGGAGAGCTGGTGCCCCTCCTGGAGAGAAAGCTGGGGGCCCTCTCTCCTGCCCTCCCCTGGAGGAGGGTGGGGCTTTGGGCCTCAGCAGTTGGGAAGGAAAGAGCCTCCAGGTGGGTAGCTTCAGAGACGCAAGGTACCCAGAATGGACTTCGGGAGGCTGAACAGAAGTGGGGGTGGGCACACAAGGCCTCCTCCAGGAAGCCCTCATGGATCGCTGAGGCCAGGCTAGATCTAGTCTCCAGTGGACTGACCCATTTACCCTTCAGAGCTCCACTTAGACCTCTCCTCCTCCAGGAGGCCATTTCTAACCCCAGCTAGTGTCCCTCTGTCCCTCACATCAGCTCAGTACTCCTGGGGAGCTCGCAACACATGCTGCCTGCCCTGCCCAGCTGGAGGGTGACCAGGCACGAGGAGCACCTGCTAACGGCCGAGACCGCGTCTGGCGTGTCTGTTACTCACCTAACCCCCACTCCTACATTAGCCCATTTTGCAGATGAGCAAACTGAAGGTCTAGGTGTATCCTGGAGTTCCCAGGTCACACAGCTAGGGCTGCCACCTGGGCCTGAGAGCACACAACAGGCTGGCCCCACTGATTGCAGGGAGGGGTGCGGAGCTAGGTGTATCCTGGAGTTCCCAGGTCACACAGCGAGGGCTGCCACCTGGGCCTGAGAGCACACAGACCACCAGGCTGGCCCCACTGATTGCAGGGAGGGGTGCGGATGAAGCCCCTTCCTCTATGATACACAAATGAAGCCCAGCCCTCTTAAAAAAAAAAAACAAAGAATACTTTATTCCCTCGGTGTTTCTGTGCAACGGTGACACCCTGCATACAGGGTGGGAGCCGTGTCTGCCTCCCAGGAGAGCTTGTCACATTGTCCAGGGGGTGGAGGCCCACTCAGGGAGATGAGGCCAGTGACCTCCCATCCAGGCACAACCAGCGGCCTCCCGATCCGATCACGTGGCCGCACCATATCGGATGTGCCCAGCTACCCCCAGCTCCCACCACAGCCCTGGCTTCTAGTCACAGCTCCGGACGTGGGCTCCAATCCTCCTCCGCCAAGAGGGGCCCCAAATGGCCACCCCTATGCCCACTAACAGGCCCTTCATGGCCTCACGGGAGCACCAGGCACTGAGGAAAGTGCCCAGGAGAGACACTGTTTGCTAGGGGTTGGGGATTCTATATTACCTGCCTGATGACCCCTCTGCACACCTTGGGGAACCCTGGCTGGGGCTGGGGGCCAGAGCTCCAGGTATCCACTGACCCATGTCCCCCTTTTACAGACAGCCTGAGGACGAGGGTAAAAGGACCTCTGCTTGCCAGGCCGTATCTGTCGAGCTCTCCTGATCCCCACCCCAGTCCCCAGGAGGACACGGAGCCTCCGGCAGATCCCATCCATGTCTTCTCGGCAGGTCCCCAGGTCCCCCTCAGGTAGGGGTGGCAGTAGTGGGGGTATTCCTAGCAGTGCCCTGTGGAGAAGCTGGGTACATCAGCAGAGGATTCAATTCTGATGCCAGGAGGCACCCCCAGCTGCCTCTCTGTCCCCAACACAGACTAGACAGGTGAACAAGGTCTCTGGAGCTCTGCCAGGTAAAGGATGTGCAGAGTTAGTAAGTCACTGGGCAGGCCACGGGTGGGCCATCAGAGGCCACATGGCGGTGGTGCGCAGGACCCCAGGGAAGGGCTAGTGTCGCTGGGTTTCTGGAAGACTCCAGGTAACCGTGCCAGGCGCTGCACAGGCCTGTCGCAGCGCTGACTGCACAATGAATGAGGCTCCCCATTTCACAGATGATAAAACTGATGTCAAAGTTTGTGGCCCAGGTCGCCCCGCTGGTGAGTGGAATTCAGCCCATCTGACTGCGTCCTCAGCCTAGTGTCTGGGCTTCTGGGCGGCGCGGGGCGATCCGCCAGGGGACGGCCATGGGGTCACAGGCTGGAGGGCTGAGCCAGCGCGGGCCCCGCGGCGGCGGGCACAGCCTCGCCCTCCGGCACGGCCCGGCCTCCTCGCCGCGCGCATAGCTGAGCACCACGGTGACGGTGGCGAAGGTGGCGGCGTTGACGGGGAAGGCGCGCAGCAGCGTGGAGGCCAGCCCGCGCGTGAAGACGCGCCAGCCCTCGGCGCGGTAGCTCTGGCGCATGCAGTCGACGATGCCCCTGTAGCGCGGGGCGCCCCGCAGCCCGTCCGCCTGCAGCCGCGACTTAACCACGTCCATGGGGTAGGTGGAGAGCCAGGACATGATGCCCGACGTGCCGCCGGCCAGCAGCAGCTTGGGCACCAGCAGCCGGTCGCCTGGCTCGCAGCACAGCGCGCGCGTCAGCACGTCGTAGGTGAGGAAGTAGACGCCGAAGCTGGGCGTCTCGCGCAGCAGCGTGGACACCATGCCCCGGTTGACGCCGCGCAGGCCCTCGTGCCGGTAGATCTGCGCCAGGCAGTCCAGGGAGCCCCGGTAGGTGCGGGTGGGGCTCGCGTCCTGCAGCTGCAGCCGCGTCTTGGCCAGCTCCATGGGGCAGCAGATGACGCACTGGATGGCGCCCGCCGCCGCGCCCGCCAGGAACTGATTCAGCGGCGAGTCGTGGCCCAGGGCCCGCAGGGTGTTGCCCTGCACGCCGAACACCAGCGCGTTGATGAAGGTGAGCCCCGTGAGCGGCGAGCCCAGGCCCTTGTACAGGCCCAGCACCTGCGGGGCGCACAGAGAGGCATCAGGCACCCCTGCTTGGGTGCTTCGGGGGCCCAGTCCACCTCCCCAGGGAACCTCCATGCAGGTGGCGGCAGGCCGCGCCCACCCCAGGTGTTCATGGGGATCAAGTGGGATTTTATTAGAACCAGAGCCCTCTGAGATGGCAGTTACACCTTCCCCTTTCCAAACCCTGATTGGCCCACTAGTCCCTCTGATGCCGTCTTTCCCACCCCGCCCCCACCACCCAGGCCACTCACGCTCTCCTGCTTGACGATGGACTGGAAGCAGTGCAAGGTCCCTCGGTACTGGGGCTTCTCCATGCTCTGGACCTGAAGCCGCACCTGGAAGACCAGCCAGTGAAAGGTGGACACGTCAGAGCCAGAGCACCAGCACCTGTGGCCCAGCACTTAGCTCCGGGCACAGGCCCCATCCAGGAGGCCCGCCGCTGAGCCGCAGGACAGGGGAGCCAGGTCACTAGCTTTCTATGGCTTTTGGAATTCCAGGATGAATTGAGGCCAGGGTCCCTGGCTCTTCAAGGAGGGGTATCAGACAGCCTGCTGCACTGATGACCACCACCCAGAGGGGGGAAGGGGTCCTTGAGACTGCAGACAGGCAGAGGCTAAGTGTACAGATGCAGATGTGAACAAAACCTACTCCATCTGTGTCCTGGGTTTCATTTAATTTTTAAGTTTCCTGCTGTGACCTTTGACCAACCTCACTGTTCTTAGCAAGCATAGCAAAGCCTTCCCGTTGATCATGTTTCTTAAAATGCAGCCATGAATATTTGTTAGCAACAGCTGTAATGGCAGGACAAACAAGATAAGCATCACTCTGGTGATAGCATCATTCTAAGCCATCGACAGTCACAAGGGCACCAGGAGGTACGGCCCCCGGTGCCACTGCATTTTTCGTGGCTTTGTCTTATCAGTTGTCGGTACCTGAGTCATGCTACAGAAAAGGTGCAGTAATGGGTTTGGTAGCAGATAACCCACAGATTTGCTGGTCGTCTGTTCCGCTCCAACCCAATCTTCCCGTAATTACCCCACCCTAACTTGTCACATTCCGTGGAGTCACCTGCTGTTTGTCGGTCTGAAAATACCTTCTTGGTACGATGGCCATTACACCACTGCTGGACAGTTGGCGAGGCAGCCAGGAGATGGACAACGAACCAGACGTGGGTAAGGGGGCCGTGCTGGGGAAACACCGGGCTGGCTGTTTACCTCTGTGTGGGGAGGGGGTGGCCCATATGGTGAATGCATGTGTACCACCACCCCACGAGTAGGGGGATGCCCCGAAAACGCTGGCTGGTCTTGTGTTTGAAGTTGCACACTGTGACGAGGAAGGAATGTGCAGGGCTGCAGTCCCGGGCTGGCCCCTCTTATGAGAAGCTCAGATGGCCACTGACACCCAGTTAGAGGCAGATGCCAGGGTTAGAAACTTAAACTGAAAACTACAGTAGAGTGTCTGCAACTCTGCCGCACGGGGACCGGCCGACAGGTGGGAGCGGGCTTCACAGAAGCCAGGAAAGCTGTTGGCATGCTCACGTGTGTCTACACGTATTGTGTTTGTGTGGTATTTTCTACCCCCGGACGGTGCTGCTAACTTGTAAAAGAAATATGTTTCATTGGCTTAAAAACAACTAAGTACTTGTAAGGATTGGATATTCCAAAATTCTCAGAAATGTAGAAACGAACCCAAATGCTGTTCAGGATCATGTGAGCTAAGATTAATCTTTGGTAAGTAAAAGCTAGTTTCAGTTTGCTGGTTTAAGTAGAAATGTCTTTTAGAGTTATCTAAGAGTTAAGAATTCTAATTAAGATGAAAGGAAAATGTGTTTTCAGTATAAGGCATGGAAATATATTTTTGAGGGAAAGGAATTTTATCCTAAAGTGAGGCTGGCTGTTTCAGAATGGGAAAGAGGAAAATAAAGACAAAAACAAAACAAAAAACAGAACAAAATCTGATGTTAACTGGGAAAGCTGCAGGAGGGTTGTGGGAAAGGAACCTTGAGACAGGAAATTTTAGGTGCTCGAGCTGAATAAGACTGAAATAAACTTAATGAAGCAAGTGAATTTAAATATCAAAAGGAAGCTGATACAGAATTAGTTTTGTTCTTTCACTGTTAAAAGCAAAAAGCTTCCCCGGAATCGTTCTGTTCCAGATATTATAACGTTAAGTTTTCTGCCTGGAAAGCAAAGATTCTGTTTCATCACAATAGTTTTGTGGTCTACAGCCATGCCACCCCGAACGTGCCCGATCTCCTCTGATCTTGGAAGCTAAGCAGGGTCGGGCCTGGTTAGTACTTGGCTGGGAGACCACCTAGGAAGACCAGGTGCTGAGGCGTTAAAAAAAAAAGCTAGTGGTTTATATTGTCTTAATCTGATACTTGATTAGTCAAGAAAAAGTCTTCTCAATCCTAAAAGCTAAGGGTTTACTAACAATAGGTAACCTTGCTGTTCCTGTTTCCCTTCCCCACCTACTTATGTTTGATATCTTTTATTTCTACTTTGGGTAAGTAAATAACGGTGTTTCTAAGGTAATATGATCCATCTGATCAGGTATGTTTGACAAACTTCCTGGGGCTCGGGGTTTGAAAGGAGACTTTTTCTTAACCTGGGAGTGGCTTTGGATTATTCCAGTGGGCTCCTGGAACACCTCAAAAGATTTGTTTTCTCTCCTTACAAAAGAGAAATATTAAACAAGGCTTATTAGGTGTAGAGAAATATTAAACCAGGCTTATTAGGTGTTAAAGTTACATGGGAAGCACCGTCAAATAAGAAATAACATTGGGCCTCTTCTTTACATTGTATACGTAGTCCAGAAATTACGTGGCAGTCCTGGAGATGAGATGCCCTGACGTGTCTGTCATCAAAATCGAGGGACACTCTAAAGGACTGAACCCGAGTGTTAGACTGTGGCACATGTGGATGGATGAAGTCCATTCTGTTTTTGCAAAAATGACCCCTCGTTGACAGACCTTTGCCATCCTGACGTTCAGCGAGCAACTGCCTGCCCCCAAATCAGAGAAATGGAGATGGGTGAACAACGCTGGAGACTGAGTGAGCTGCAGGGCTGCGGGAAACCCCGGATGGCGCTCGGTCTCCCCAGCTCCCCGGGAAGCCCCGTTTCCCAGTGCCTGCGTTCCTTCATCACCCTTGTGCACGTAAGATGACAGAGAAACGTAGAAAACGTGTTCCCACTTGGGGCTCACCTTCCAAGTGCTCCCCAGCACTCCTTCCCTAGCCCCGGCACGTGCCATGGGATGGTGGCTTGCTTCCTTCCCCACCTCATTACACTGATGACATTGTGTCAGCCTCTCTGCTGCACAGAAGCCTGCAGGCTTCCTGGGCCGCCCAGCACAGACAGGCTGGGCAGTGAGTCTGCAGAGTTCGAGGTCCGGGCCCTGCAGAGTGGTCTCTGGGATTCCTGTGGGTGTGCAAGATCCATGTTGTCCCGGAGGCTGTCACAGAGGAAGTACAAGCCTACCCCACGACGGGAAATGGGAAAGAGGTTCAGGCTTTTGTGGGAGTTCTGGGATATCAGTAAACTTTTGTACCCCACTTAGCGCAAGGCCTTCTGCCCATGTATCACCTCGCTGAGAAGGGGCACGTGGGCCGGGGGAGCCGAACCACAGGCTGCCTTTGAGAAAGCAGAAATGCTGGCCAGACAGATCACAGCTCTTGGGATCTCACAGGCGGGCTGCACTTGCATTAGATGGTTTGGTAATCCAGGAAGGCATGGGCTGGCATTATGGCAACAAGAAAGCAAAAGGGCTGAATGTCCCTGGCTTTTGGTGCCAGCTACAGGAAGGGGCACCCACGCCCCAGCAGGACAGCAGTGACTGACAGACCTCCCGCCGGCGGCGCCCTCACTGGAGCGGCCGGTTCTGGCCAGAACGTCCTTCCCATCAGTGGGTGGGCAGAAGGATCATTTCCAAGCCCCGCTGCCCTGCAGAAACACACGCGTGTTTGCGACGGTGCGAGGCTCCTCCCACTAGTGATTCCTGGCAACCTACTGAGGCCACTTTGGCCCCTACTGTGTGTAGAGCCTCCCACAAGACGCCCCCGTCAGTGGGAGAGGGTACTGTTCCCCTCCCTGAGAAGCTTGGCATTTTAAAGGCTGGCCGCATGCCCTTGCACAGGTGGGCGACGGGCACACTGAGCAGTGAGGCTCCTCGCCAGCGTTCAGGACTGCGACGCAGGACGGCCTACGGGCCGCGTCTCTTAGAACCTGTGGCCTGATGCCGTGTTGCCAGAGCCGATCAAGGGCCAGCGTCAGCTACTGTTCACAGCAACTCGACATCGAAGACGCAGGACGGCCCTACGGGCCGCGCCTCTTAGAACCTGTGGCCTGATGCCGTGTTGCCAGAGCCGATCAAGGGCCAGCGTCAGCTACTGTTCACAGCAACTCGACATCGAACGAGGCAAGGGAACACGTGAGTGGGGCTGGACCGGCAACATATGACACATCCTGGCCAGCTGAAGTGGGTCCAGGTCAGTCCTGCTGGAGTCTGGGCCCAGACGCTCTGCGTGTGAGGACAGACAGAAACCAGCACCGAAGGGCTCACTGGCTGCTTAGTGCGGTCGGCTGCCACCCAGCTCAAATCGCAAATAATCCACACCCTCGCCCCTGGGGCAGTACACCTGGCAGGCACCAGACTCCACAGGCTGCACGTTTTGGCTAATGAGGACGAAACCAGTGCCGTTGTCATGACTGCGGGGGAGGACCCCCCACCAAGTGCCTACTCAGCATCTCACAGTCCTCCGTCTGCTCTTCCTGGGAACCAGGACCCAGTGTGGGGGACGCCTTCCTCCCGGGGCCACCACTTCTGCAGAAACACAGCTGCCCTTCAATACCTGACTGGGAAAGCGGATGGGACAGGCTACCCCGAGAGCCTAGGAAGTGTGACTCCAGAACCAGGGCTAATGGTTCCTCCTTTAGTTTTGAACTTGGTAAAAAGTATGTCTCTGATCTAGACACTGCACTAGCTCTTCTATGATCCTCACTGCCTACCACACTTGGGGTGACCTAGGATGCGTGTGTGCTGCGCATGGCAGACTTGGCTGTGTTTGTTCATTTTGTATAGAGCAGACTGACCGCCCTACACAGGGGCAGAGACACACGGGGTGGCTGTCACCCACGTGTTAAACAATACATAAGGTTTTAGACACTGATTAGACAGGAAGAGAACAAATCTTTAAAGGCAGGTGCCTGGCTGGCCCCCAAAGAAGGTACCTGGATGTGGCACAAACTCCTAACCCCATCTCCACGATGGAAGGACTGGCCTCGGTACATGGGGCTTCGCCACCTTACCAGGAACCCCCTCAAAACTCATCAGCTC